GTTTAATACACCCATGATACAAATACTTAAAGGTAAAACCGCACAATTCGTCGGCCATCATTTACTTTTTGTAGTTTGTCTATTTTATAAAATTAAAATTTTGAGAGCAACTCAAATGCTAATTAAAGGTAAAACAAAAAACAAATAGATGAAAATATTGAAATTTTCATTTATTTGAAAACATTTTTGTAATGCAAGCAAACTTTAAAAATGTTCAGGCTGCCTTTCAACGGTTTTACCTTCAGATGTTTGTACCATGAATACACCTTGGTCAAGATATCACGAACAAGTTTTCCTTTATTTATTTTTACTTAAAATCCTTAAATATGTATCTTGATTTTTTTCTGTAGAATACGTAATAATTTTTTTTTAACGATTTAAAAAAAGGGAAGACAGTCAGATCTACGTAACCAGAACGACCTGAATGCGCATTGAAGTCTGTTGTATTTTTTGCTTAAAATTATCTGTTATTATTGAGATACAGTTTCGCTACTATTTAGAGATTTCTCGACATAGTTTTTCATATTACTGTTATTAATTATTTTTCTTATTAGTCATTTATATGTTTAGGAGTTACTGTGGGTGCTTTAAGATTCATTTTGTAAATATGTATGTACATATAAAAAACAATTGCGATATTTTATTTTAAATTATGAGTTTTATTCGTGTAATTTTTTATGTTTAATAGTTTTGAGAACATTTTTTGGTTCTGTCGATTCTTTTATTGCATGCCTTAAACTTTTTTTACTTTAAGTTATAATGTTGAAGATTTGCCTTCTGCCTTTGTCAAACACTTAAGCTAGGTGCGAGAAATTTAGCATATGCGCGTAAGAGCATAGAGTAGGAATACAGCTGTGCTGCCGCGATTCTCCAACATCTTGTCAAAGGAGAAAACATATTGGTGGCGGAATCCATCGTAGTCCAATTTTTCTTAAAATCTACGAAAAAGCGATCACTGAATCTGAACTGCTATGTGTATTCAAAGCAAGCGCTGCGTTCGTAGCTACTCGAACTTAATAGCATTTGCGTAGATTTCACGAAAAATCGGACTACGATGGATTCTATGATAGCCTTGATTAGTTCGTGCGATTATGACTTATAGATCGATTATGGATGGGAACGGAACCTCAGTTGGGTTGCCGATGGACAGCGCCACTGAAATGAAAATGTTTTTATTATGAATAGCAATAATTAAGTTTCATAAAGTTCAAGGTGGTACAATTTAAAAAGAAAAATAAAAGTTGAAAAAAGAAATAAAGTATCTCAATCAAAAATTCCCGGCAGCCACAAAAACGCACTTGCCAATATAGCAACTTAGTTGCCAGCTTTCAGTTGCTAGTTGCCATCGGTAATACCATTTCAGCCACTGGCCAACCAACTGAAGTTCGGTTGTCCTCCGTAGTCGACCCATAAAATCGGAATCGAATATGCATGCACGTTCTGCTGAACGATAAATATTTTGTAAATGTGTGCTCTGTCCGCTAACGAATTCCAGCCATGTGTGAAATATCGTATGTGAAGCCTTCGTCTGACTTAACGATTGTCAAAGGCATGCCAGAAGATGTTTCATCATATGTTTTCGGCCATCGTCTTCTTCGAGTATGTTCATCGATACCAAAAACTTTACAACCTATATGTGGCAGCAGCCCTTAGTGTTTTTGCCAATGACATGGTACGAATGCACTGTTAATAACCAAATTAAGCCGCAGTTACATTCATACGTGATATAATAGCTAGTGTTGGCAAGCTGTGGGAATGCCCAGGAGATGGCGTTTGTTCAGCTATCGAAATCATTACACCGACGGCGGTGGGCAGTACTGCTGGAAAGTATTTACCACAGCGGTGGTTGTGGCGTTTTGTTCTGCAACAATAGCCTGCAATGATGACATGTCATATAATGTCGACGAAAAAAGATATAAAATTTAAAATGACTAACCTTATTCCCGGCCGATTTAGGAGACCACCCTTGATCACGACCTGAACGCATTTACCAAGAGGAAAAACAGCAGGGATTGCAGTAGTTCTTGCAATCACCGTTGATGATGCAGTGCTTGTAATTAATAGTTTGAAAATACAAAAAATTGCATTAATGAAATCTTATACACATCAAATAAATAAATTTCAATAATTTGTTTACCATTTCACAAACCGAATTACCAAGAAATAGAAACTCACCGCGATGCGATACAGAAATAAAAACCAACAGGGCTGCATTTTCTTGGTTAACAACACAAGCGCTCAGACCAAACTGATCCGCCAAATTATTTTGTGAAAAATAATAGTTGAAAAGAGTTTTTACACATTATTATCACATTAACTCATAAGTGCAAATTATTGTGATTATTTTTAGTTGCATATAATTGTATTACCTTAGACTTTTTTTTAATTGTTTTCTAATATTCAGTCTTTTGGGTAAATGATGGTACGTACAGACGCCACATACATACCAAAGCATCTCGTAGTGGAGACACGAACCAAAACACATTTACCTCTATATCTTTCCAACTATTGGCCGGAACTTAATATATAAGGTATCGTTTGAAAGGTATTGGCCTATAGAATAACACTAGATATGTTGGGTGTATCCACATGCCCCCTTAAATCGCCAAAAGCAAAAAAACGTTTTTTGTTTCGCAACACTTTAGCCTAATTTTTAAGAATCCGGCTATTCGTTTATGAAGCTTGAATACATTTTCTGGACTCACTCTGCAAGACCTTTCCAGCGATATCTCAAACATGTCGATTGGACGTCTGGATAAAAACTTCCAAAACTCGTGTATATATAAGCGAGTCATTTCAGCATGCTACTGTTGCTGCTTTCGTCACTCGCGCGCACTGCCGTGCGCTGTGATTAGATACATTGTCTCGCACATGCATATCTATGTAGTATAATTATCTAAATTGTTATTACCTTTCCATTATGTACCATCACTGATAGCATGTAATTATATGTACCATCACTGATAACCAGGGAACGGATTTTATGGAAATTGCCTTTTTTTCTGCTAAAGAGATAGAGTATATTCGATTAAGAATGTCCACGATTTAGCTTTCCCTGATTCCATATATACACAATTGATGTTGCCTTTTTTTGCCTTTTTTAAGATATTTGCCTTTTTTTGCCTTTTTTTAGATATTTGCCTTTTCTACCTTTAAAAAAGTGATTATAGCATTTACAATTTTTTTTTTTAAGAATAAAAAATATACACATGCCCATGCGGCTTATAGAAGCGCAGGGACCTCTTGCCAAATTGGTGTTGAAAAAATTCAATGCCGTTTTCTCAGCTAACGTAGGCTTGAAGACAATAAGGGATGTGGATAAAATTGTAAAGGGCAAGGAAAACGCCCTTATTCATGATAATATGAACGTTTCAAACGTTCCATATTTAAATTGGGCTCCACTTGTATCAACTTACGTCGAGCGCACATTTAGTACATTCAAGGCTTTTCTTCGTGAAAATAGAATGAAAATGCTGCCAGAAAACTTCAAAATGCATCTTGTGGTTCAATGTTACTACAACTATACAGATTAAAGTTTTATGAGTTAGAAACTCGAAAGGATAAAATAGTCAAAGATTCAAAGTACAAATTTTTCATATA